CCCTCTCTCTCTCTCTCTCAGAAATTCAGTCTAGTAATTCCGTCTAAATCTTATGTTCAGTTAAATCACATTTAATGAAACAGTGAAATGTGCAGACAGGCTGATGTGACTCTTCTCTTCTCTTTCACACACATCGAAACTGTTGAGTTGCATGAATATTAAATAGAATAATGGAACTTAGACAAATTAAATGGAAAAATTATACACGCATTTGAGACATGCACATGTCAAAATCTTACAGCAGCGCTGTGACAGTATTTTCAACAGCGACACAAATCACACAAATACATTAGAACATGTCTGTTGTGTACTTTGACAACAAAAGAGTAAATGGCGGTGTAATGATTAATTCAGTATTGTGGGGCAGTAAAATAACAAGTACAGTAAGTACATACTAAGTAAACTTTGAGTACACACTGTGTCATTTCTCATTTCGTTTTGTGCAGTAGTGTGTATTTTGGTGTCTGTGTGGCTGTGCGCGGTTTAAGTTTTATAAACCCAAATAATTTAGCATATTCGCAATGTGAGCTTCAACGGAAAAAAGAGGGCTGCTGTCCATGGTGCTGAATCAAACAGTACCATCAAATTGAATAAATACATTTTCCAACAAGGTTTCCATAATTCTCCAACAAGCTCTGTCTCAAATGACTAGACCCACTGGAAGTAAAAGATATAGCATTTATTGCTGTTTTCCACCTGTTCATGCAACCGCCATCGTCAAAAGCTTTCATGAGTGATCATAACCCCACCTTCACATCTCCCCTCCATATTTTCTCAGTACTGTCATTGTTTCATAAAGGAAGACCTGTGGCAGTTCTGTGAACAAGGCGACGGCTCCAAACACCAAATAACACTCTCAATTTGCAGCCATTGGCATGGCTGGTTAAACAGCACAGCGAGAGGAGAACCGTGAGCGTGTGAAGAGACCCTTGAAGGAGCCGGGAGAGAGAGATGACAGGGATAAATGAAAAGGAAAAAGGGGGCTTCTAGTTAAACTGATTTTATTCACATTTGAAATTCTTTAAACCAGAGCAGGCAGGAAATGCATTTAGATTCCCATCCTATCAAGATCCTCTTTGCTCCCTTTACCTCTAAGGAATTTAAAACCTATTCTTATGAAATAAGAAGAGATGGAACGTCCTTGAATGATTGCGAGATCTTTGGATCAAATGAAAATGGAGGTGCATTTAAAGAAAAAAATAAGCAATTTCCTTTTGGCATCTGAGCACAAAAGCCTGTGTCATGGTCTGCAAATGTGTGTGAACCATGCCTCCTGTTGAATGAAAACATATAACACAAGATCAGTCTGGAGGGACTGTGAGGGGGGGTTAATTGAATAAAAAAAATATCAGTAAAATGTCCTTGAGGGCAGCTTTGACTGCCGGCACATACTGTAGAAGGTCATTTCTGCTGAGGGAAGAAGGATGAAGAGAAACACTCACACTCAAAAGAAAAAAAAAACGAGATTTGGCCAGTTTATATTATGGGCACCTATAAGCAGAGCAGAGGCACATCGCCCCCTGCAGTCCACAACTAACATAAGCGTTTGCCAATCAAAACCAATGAAAGAGGAAACCCTGTCTGACTCAGTAAGTTTGAAGGACCTGATATTATCAATAATCATGATAAAGTTATAGAACATTCTTTATTGGTCTCTTAACTGAGCATCACTGCGGAAGTGACAGAAATATTGTGTTCCAGGACCTGCACAACCAAACGTTTGTCACTTCAATAGAAAAGACAGTCCTTGTAGAACTCATAATTGCAACTTCTAAACTCAGATTTTCAGAGGGTTACACCTTGTACCAACTGACCCCATGCAGAAATACATTAAATGGCAGTGACTACAGCAGTAAAATGATTTTAGAATTTTAGATGATGATTCTAGTGTACGCATTGTAGCCATTGTAAAGGACATGACGGGCTGAAAAAATGCAGAGCATCGGATCTATACTGTATATCTATAATCTATGTATAGAGATCAGTAAGCTACAAGCAAATCTACAGTGATTTAGAATGAATGATTTTGCTAGCTATTTTAATTTCACATGTTGCACTTCAACCATTTTAAGGTGTGATCTATGGAACAGCTGACAGACAACAAGTGTGAAGTTAATCACTTGACTTCCACAGCTGCTTAATGTAACACAAACATTTAGTTTTGATACCATGTATAAAGAAGTGCTAGAAATTTATTTTCAACATTATGAATTCAGATGTAATTATTTGGGTTTACTGTTGACAATACAATTGTTGCATTTGGTTTAGGCTACTTCAACGTTATATATCTGACCTGAATGTGGGACATCATAATACCCAACTCTGAGGTACAATTTTCCCAGGTGCACCTGAAGGCAGCATAATAAACATTATCATATGTCATGAACACACCTTTAGATCCATTCATTGATCCACCTATTGATCCACCTGAGCTACTTCTGTCAGTTTTGAATGCTGCGATCTCTAGTCAACTCACATTAAAAGCTGCTGTCAGTTAATTAAACTTTAATAGATGATATTACACCTTGATTGGACACATGTCATGTCAACTGTGATAAAACCTTCCAGTGATATGGATGTTGGGATCTTTTTTATATTTACTGTAGTCACTGGCTGCATATAAAAACTAAAAAAAACAGGCAGAATACAGAGGTAGGAAGGCAATAAGACATGTCCAAATCCAATGGTCGTGTCACATCCTGTCAACCGAGATATCTTCATCTGAACATTTTTTTGAAAGCAGCATAGATTTATTTTTCGCTGCCTATGATATCCCACTATCCTGTGCATGCAGGTCCATGACAGTTGAGCTGAAGGACAAAAATAGCACCTAAAAGTTGCGCTTGGCACTCAGCTTGTGTATAGATGTAGATTTTTTCCCCCCATTTTTTCCCCCAAATTTTGACTTCATATCTAGCATGTTCTAGATATTCAGCCCATTTGGTAAGATCCATCTTGTGAAGGTTTGCTTGTGTTAACCTGAACCGTTTTCTGAACCAACCCTCCTGAACCATTTTTGGGTTCCCCAAAGAACCTTTCAATGAACAAGGTCCTCTAAAGAACCTTTTGCGCAATGGAAAGGTTCCATGGAAGTGAAATACTGATTGTAACTCTTCCAAGTTGCATTCATAAACTGTTTTAGCAGAGTGCAATGGACACCTTCAAAGAGCCAGGATCTTCTTGGCAGACTCCTGAGATTCATGTTCTCCAGTGTGATTCAACAGTGAGATTGGAACAAGGAACTAGCCAGAAGCATCAGTTGCATTTTATTCAACACCTTCTCAGTCTTCAGAAAGATTTCCTATCCTACAAGTTTCTACAATACCATTGAAACTTTGGAGAAGACCATTAGATTTAGTGTAAGTGGATCCCTGGTGTACTTCCTGTACTTCGTCTTGTCTGTAGAATTATAGTATGAACTCATCTTCACAACCCACCTCTATCTTTTCTGCCACTCATTCGTCACATTACATCTGTCATTGTTTTCAGAGCCTATTTCATAAAGGAAGACCAACGGCAGCTCTTTGAACAAAGTGATGGCTCCAAACACCAAATAACACTCTCAGTTTACAGCCGTCGGCATGGCTGGTTAAACAACACAGCGAGAGGAGAGCCGTGAGCGTGTGAAGAGACCCTTGAAGGAGCCGGGAGAGAGAAAGCGAGGTGGAAAGATAACGGGGATAAAGTGAAAAGGAGAAAGGGGCTTCTAGCTTCAACTGATTTTATTCACATTTGAAATTCTCTACATTAGAACAGGCAGGAAACGCATTTAGATTCCCATCCGATCAAGATCCTTTACACCCCTTTACCCCTTCAAACCTATTCTTATGAAATAATGGGGCTGAGATGGAACGTTCTTGAATGATTGCAAGAGCTTCTGATCAAATGAAAATGGAGGTGCATTTAAGGAGAAAAATAGGCTATTTCCATGTGGTTTCTGAACACAAAAGCTTGTGTCATGGTCTGCAAATGTGCGTGAACCATGTGCCTCCTGTTGAATGAAAATATATAACACAAGATCAGTCTGGAGGGACTGTGAGGGGGGCTAATTGAATAAAAAATATCAGTAAAATGTCCTGGAGGGCAGCTGTGACTGCCGGCACATAGATGGTCATTTCAGAGGCAAAAAATGCCATACTCAGACAGAAAAAGACAACAAAGGAGATTTGGGCAACTGTATGAGCAGAGCAGAGACACATTTACTCCTGCAGTTCACAAGTATAACATTAGCATAAGTATCCAAATCAATAATGGACAGAGATATACTGTACACAACACAGTGATATTATGCCTGACAAGTTGATGCTAAAATACTTGTTGGCAATGGACAGATGGAAACCATTATTTTTGCAATTCTTTTATGTGCCCCCGGTGGTGCAGAAATTACACTCTTGATCTTTAAGAACCAAAGGAAGTGGATAAACATTTATGCAAGAGGAAAAATACACCATAAAGCATTTGGCAATCAAAGCCAATGAAAGTGGATAACCT